CAGTCAGCTCCAATCCGTCGGTCACAGTCGTCTCCAATCCATCAGTCACGCGCTCCTTCACTACCAGTAACAGAGTAAATCACAGCAACTGTCTTTCAGACACACCAGTCACCTAGTCATTCCTGTCACAGGACGGCTGCCACAACTACCTCGATGACAACCCCTTGCAATTCGGCAACAACGCCTGGATCTCTGCCATGATGGTCATCCTCCTCATCTGGTTCGTCATCATCACCGTCGTCGCCTACCTCTTCATCAAAGGCATCAGAGAGGTAAGGCGGAGAGTTTCGACGTAGAGCCTCCCTCCCGAGTGCTGTCGTGGCTGCCCCCCTTGACCGGTCTCTGTGCCCGCAGTTCAAGCCCGCCCTGATGGTCCACTACATCCGCATGTGCGGCTTCTCCATCTTCCTGTCCCTCGTCTTCTGTACCGTCGTGGCTGTGGTGCTTGGAAGCGCCTTGTTCTTCCTCCTATTCGTCGTCGCATCAGGTATACCTTTTTTCAAACTTTTCAATTCGTTGAACAGCATGCCTCTTGCTGTTTTGGTTCTGACTGTTCGTGCGCCCCCCTCTGCCAGGCTTGCCGCTGTACTTCCTCATCTGCGCGAACAGCCTGCACATCAAGATGTCCCAGGAGCAGGAGGCGCAGTTTGCTAACCCCGCCGCCGCCGCCGCCCCCTCCGTCCTGCCCCCGGGCTACGGCTTTGCCGCCCCGCCGCCCAACCCCTACGGCCAGCCCGCGCCCCCCTACTCGGCGGCGTACCCCCCGGCCCCGGACGAGTACCCCACCAAGACGCTCCCCGAGTAAACCTATCGTGTACTGTACTCCTGTTTCTGAATTATTTTTCTCTCTTGCAAGTAGCAAAGCGAAAGAGAAGTCGTGTGTGTCGTGTCGCTGATTGTACTTATCGATATGAGACGGGTCGCCGCCGCTTTCAAACGCTTTATGGCTTTGTGTCACGGTGAGTTTGCTGTGGGAGACGTGTGGTGGCAATGGTGCGTGGTGCGAAAGAGTTCTGGGGGTTATGTTCTTATCATTTTCGCTTCCTTTTTTAAAACGTAAGAAATTGAATTGAATAAGGAACTCAGTCGTGGACCCTGTCCAACTATTTTATGTCAGTATCTTGATTTTTCTCATTTTTTAA